CTTTTAAGAGTTTAGTCTTAGAAGTTATTTCTCTGCCGAAATTAATAATAATAATAATAATAAATTCGGAATGCACTTAAGCATGCCGATCCGTCCATCTATCTATCTGGCGATCTGCGCAATTATGTAGCAACTGTAATAAACATTCTCTTGTTCGCAAAAATGAAGATATCTCCTACAAACTTGCAAATGAATTCCGAAACTACTACTCTTTCAAAGAGCACGCCTACAACGCCCACAGGTCTATATAACAAAAACTGTGAACACTTTCGCTTTCCCTCTCACTCTTGTTTGTCATAAACTACAACACATTCACGAAAATTATTCTACAAAAATAATAATAGAATAACGGTCATGGGTATAAAATACTCACTCGCAATCAAATATAATTATCTTACTTCTTTATTATTCTCATTTACCCATTAGCAAGCGTTGGGGAATATGAAGACCTTTAATCACTTTCTTGAATTGAAAATATTAGAATTTGCTATCATAGAGGAAGAGACAAAGTTTACCAACAATTCATACAAAATACGTATGGTTATGTCATAGACATGGTTGTGTCAACTTTAACGGTCACAATTATATAAAGCTTTTCGTCTGGCTAATGTACATTTTCTTACATATGTTTGACAAATTTAATTTAGCTCCTCTTATAAGGGCTAGAATAAACTGCCGAATTTGCGGAATTTCTCTCTAATCAACCCCAAAAAAAACCAAAACTTTACATTTGCTGATAGTCTCATTTAATCTTTTGTCATTATTAACAATACCTTATCATAACAAGATTCACTTTATATTCTGAATTGTAAAACTAAAATTAAAAGCACAAATAAAAATTCTGCGATATTCTAATATATAGTAGGAGGGATTCTCTTAGGAATTTTAAATTTTGGAGTAGAACTTAATGAGATTGCAAAAAATAAACAAAGAGCAAGCAAAGTCGAATTGTACAGTCGCATGATTAAATGCTAGTTTTGTTTGGTTCAATAGTACCGAATATAGATTTTAAACCGATCTTAAGAAATCAAAATCAAAACCATTGTTGTCGTCTACCAAAAAAAGGTAAATTTTTTAAAATAATATTTCTATATACATTTACGTAAAAATTTGCGAAAAATTTCTTCATCTAAGTGAAGAATTAATATGGATACTTGGAAACGATTCCACATCATGATAAGTTAATGTATTTATCGCAAAGAACCTTCAAAAACCATCTGATTTTTAAAGACGTTGCCATATACAAATTTGTAGAACGCGCATCGTGAAAAAGAAGAAGAAATTTTGGGGGTGAACGCAGAAACGCCACACTTATATTTCCATGATTAGCGGAGAAATTAATTTATAAATTTATAATAGTTATTATATATTGTGCATGTTTATACACTCTTTTTATACACTATATGCGTATATATGTAATTTAAAGAGCTATAAAATTATTAAATTAATCTCCTTCCTTAATACCTTCAATCGAAGTTTCGGAGTTCAACTTAAGCGTGTACTATATACGCGAAAGGAAAGCCATGTTCAGATCGCATACAGATTTGTTTCAAACTTGTTCAAATCGCAGAAAGCAAAGGTAAAAGGCCAACTTCGTTAGAGCCAGCGATCAGCTATCAGCTTTTTAACATAATCTGTTTTCAACAATTAGAAACTTACACGTTTTAGGAGAATGTCAATAGGACGACTCATGTTGAAGTTTGTCAGCAATTAAAAAATGTTTGAGAACTTATTCAAAATATATATATATAGACTATATATTAATATATGTATATATATATATATATATATATATACTATATACTAAGCTATATATGTATATATATATATGTAACTCTGTTAAACGATTGCCACCCGAAACGATGTTTTATTTTTAATCGTCATTAAAAAAACTGTATTTGCCTCTCCAGGTTCGCACATTCAAGCATTAATAATTCTTAATCGATTTTCACAATTTTTTAATGAATTTAATTCCGGCAAGTGTAATTATTATTCATTATGGGTGTTCTATTAAAGCGAATATCGAATTATTTTCTTTATAATTATTCAAAAAGTGATTAAAGAAGTCGCAGCCGTTACGGATTAAAATTTCGTTCTTAATGCGTTAATACAGAATATATGAACATTATATGCAACCACCACATTAAATTTTTTATGACATTTTTCTCCGAATTGTTTTTTAAATCATGAGTGACGATGCAATTAACTGATTGTATGTATTGAGCGAGCTGTAATTTCACTGCTTAGTACATTATTGATATGAACGTCCAAATTTTTGCAGCAAGTTTGCATATTAAGTTTATCATTCATTTCGCAACGCAATGAAATAAGCACATTTAACTTTTATTTAAATAAGATATGATCCAGTCGTGCTTCACCTTACAAATACACTACATTATCAGTGAATGTACTACGTTCGTAATATAAGTTTTTGTAAATTTTGAATTAGAGTTCTAGATCAAATATGTTCGCGCTTATACGCGCCGATTAAGGTATATATACACACTCAATGATTAATGTTAAATAATAATGTCATAAACGATATGAGTAAGGCAAACGCGTGCACACAATGAACAAGCAAAAAGCTAAAAAGAGTAAAAAATGCTAAACTCTAATCTCTTATTAAAGAAAAAATTTAAAATTAAAAGAAAATTTTTTTTCAGCTCTTATCACATTTGAGCTCAAAAACCATTTTACGAAACCTTAGACTATAACTTTTTCATCTTTACAACACAACTCAATTTTCATATTAGTTCAATTATAAGACAATAATATAAGCACTGCCTTTATGTTTGTAACTATTAAGTTAAACACATAAAAGCGATTAACAAAGAAAAAGAGACAAAAGACAAAATTGGTAAAAAAAAACTTTGTTTTAAAGCCTTACTTATCCGATATATCATTTTAATAACTAAAAAAAAAAAAAAAAAAACCAACAAACTTTTTACAAATACATTTTTTTTCAAAGGTTTTGGATCTTTCGGATGGGAAGTTCGAATACCTTTTACAAACGCTCGTAAAAAAATACGTGGTATAAATATACAAGGAAGCTTATCCAACTCTTGTAATTAAATCGGCATCATCGAAGTCGGGCAATAATGACGACCGCAAATGCTAGCCTAAAAAGTGCTTCCCAATACGAGGTATCAGTGCAAATGGATTTATTTTAATTTCTTGTTGTCAAGCAATTTTCGCAGCATAAAGGGCGTAGGTATTTGATAGCGCAATGAGTTCCATCAGAGCTCGTTACCGGTGGAAGATGATCGTATGTTCGATGACATCACAGCATCAATTGTAGAATACTCCGCAACATAGCAGTTTGTTCGTTGAGAATTTCTTTACAATATTTTAACAATTAAGCAGCTTTTGATTTAAAATAAACAACTTTTTCAATGAGATTAAATCAACGTAATATAAGCCTTGCATGCGCATGTAAGTACTAAAATATATCTGTACGTACAAACTTACAAAAGGTGAGGGCAATTTTAAAGTCAGACTTTAAAGTCGATTAATTTTGCGTTTAATGTTTCATTTTACAGTTTTTACAACTTTTTTGTTTTATCGATATTAGCATTAGTACAATTTTGCTTTACATGAACAACTACTAAGAGAGAAAAAATATATGTTTTGTATATCGCCCATAAGACATAAAAATATAACACAATAATCCCCAAGTTACTAATTAATAATATGGGTCTCCGTGTGCATATCAATTTACGTCTTAAAAATGAAATATGAAATTTCCAAGAAAGCAAATACGTTTTCACTTTGAAGTGAATTATTCATATTTGTTACTTGATGCTTTTTTTGTGGATGGCGGTACGGCGAACATAATTTATGAATTTTAATTTAAAACTGATATAAATATTAGCTTTAAGAACTTGCGAGTGTTTGGCAAGTTCACAATTGGCATTCATTGAAAACACGTACACTTTTATTAGTTTTCTGAAGCAGCTATTCCGAATTGTGCAAACCGAAATTAATATTCCACAATCGTGCGACTTATGTTATAAACTAAAACCATTAAAACTACAAATTACATAATTAGGTTTTTAATTAAATGCTTACTAAATTTCATATGAAGCAAGCTTCTGAAAAATAAGGGACCTTTTCGAGAACCTCAGATTTTAGACAATTTATCACCTAAACACCAGCATTTTCATTCCATTGTCATAAACTACACAAACTACGGCCGACCTGATAAACTATGTCTGTTGGAATCAATGCAAACATGACATTTAATGTCACATTTGTATTTTATTAATCGTAAGGTGAGTGAATAGCATTCAAGACACCATAAAGAATAACATTCTTGGTCTCCACGAGTAGAAATTTGCTCAAAATTAAGAAAAAAGGCATTATAATTCTACTCTACATTAACATCAAGTAGTTGTCACTGTTCGTCTATTAAAATTCAAATCTTAAATAAGTCAGAGTTTTCAATAAATACCCTTTCGATACCCTTAACTCCTAGTGCTTTAAGACTTTAATCCTTGGAATTTATTTTCCTGACGAAATTAATTGTAATAACAATAATAAATCATTCAACTTAAACCAGAGAACTGCATGTATACGCAGCGGAAGTGCAGCCAAATTCCATAAAAATACTGTTTTAAAACATGTGGTACGAAGTCTATCTTGCAATTCAATATAATATATCTTAAATGCATACCTAAAAGCTATAAAATTCGGCGGATACTTAGTATAATTTCTTGTCTATCTTAAATTATTTATGCCAGTTTCTTATCAGGAAGCACCACCAAATACTCAAATTAAAGATGAAATCAAAAATTTTTAATTTTCGATCCAAAAAAAACTTTAAAAGATAACGCATTGATATTGGAAATTGTTTTGCAGTATGTAGAGTGATAAGATAAGAATAATTGAACCGCAGGCAATTAAAAATTTCCACAGGGGAACAAGCACAAGAACTCTTGAATGGGAAAAAAATCAAAAAATGGAGGAAAAATATTTGCAAAATAAATGGCGGCGGCCGCTAAAACTATTTAAACGGTAATTTCTAAAGATAGAAAGTGTTCGTTATCAGCCGTACGCTATAAACTTTCTAGTCGGCAAAAATAAACGTGCAAAATATAAGGCATATTTTTGCACTTGCTTGAAAAAGGCGGATCGGTTGAATGATGTTTTTTTGTCGTTTTACCAAGAATTGGTCCCGAAGGCAATTTAGTCAGTTTTGAATTTTGCCAAACAATTCAGAGCTATATGTGCAAACGTACGCATTTCGTTCACGCATAGCAATGGATATTAAAAGAAACCGATTTAAAGTAGATACGGGCAAAAGATGGGAAAGGTATGTACAAGGATTATTTGAAAAACAGGGAGTAATATAAAAAATATTGGGCGATTCTCGAGAGCCGTAATCCATGTCACTTTTCCGTAAAAGAAATTTCTACCGATTAGGCCCTTAATCTGTTTTTTTTCGTAGATTAAAAATGCTCAATGTTCTAATAGCCAATTATTTACATTTTATAGAAGACACTGATCGACAAAAATATTTGCTGAGGCGACGCGAAAATGCTCTTAAAAGTTTTATGTCGAAGTTGTTTACGGTGATACTTGGTCAAAATTAACTTTTGAGTTGGGGACGGTTAACTTTCTTTTTTTCTTTCTTTTGTTAGGCTCACAGCACGTATATAGATAGATGCATATCTAATTGTTTCCATTATTATATCAACCGTTAATTCATGTTATTTTATTATGATTACCTTTTTGTTCATAGCCTCATAAAGAGTATATAGGCTTAATCACCGTAAGATTGCAAGTCAATTTTCGATAAGCGTCTTGTCGTTTATGTATCCATTGTTGCCATTATTTACTTTCCTAAATTTATTATAATTGATACGTTTACCACATATTTGTAAATCAATAAACCACCATCAAATATGATAATTTGCGTAATTCGCCAACCGCGTTCACGGTAATTTAAAAATAATTACCTCGAAAACAAAATATATCGTCTCAAAATTAAGTAAAAATTTATCACAATTTGAATATCCAGGATAACGACGACCCAAAGGTCTGCTAATTGAATGTAAATGTTAAATGAATACGGTGTAGGTACTTGTTATATCCTACACAACTTATTGTACGGGATATAACAACTGCGGATATGAGTGACATGTAAAGGGATTTAGGATAGTCTCTTCTATTAATTCATTTTTACCACATTGACGTTTATCTGTCTGTCTGTCTGATGTGTTCCCATGTGTTTCCACCTTCAAGCTAAGCGTGGTAGCACTTTCTGAGATCTTTTCACTAAGTTTAATATACTGTTACAGATGCTTTAGACAACGGACGAATTCCTTTCGTGCAACCAATTTCCATATATTATCTTATTTTTAAACCATCTTTAAATGAAAAAAATTTCCCATTTTTTAATAGTTCTCAACATAAAACGTTTGAATGCCTTTCTACAGTCCCAAGGTGTTATTGGTAATATTTTACAATTGAGAAATAATAAGATTTTTGATAAGAAAATTACTTTTGCTAAATTTAGATCAGACCAGTTCACATTATTAGCCTCCGCGCAAGAAAGCGCCCATATGAAAGGTATGTATCGAATAAGATATTAACTTCAGTAATTTGTCATATCGTTTTTGCATTGATTTTTAACATATCTTAGTTTTGAGATTTTAAATTTTAATAAAGAAAACAAAAAAATAAAAAAAAAAATATAATATAAATACACAACATATATATTATTTAAATATCGACGCAAGCGTATTGAATTTACCGTCATCTAATGGCTTTGATATTTTTAATCAGCTTCATCGTCGAATAACATATGTATGTACAAAAGATTTCTAAACATATAACGTTGGTCCAACCTTTGTGAAATAAATTTTATAACTATTTACATCATACATACACGATTATACTGCTATGTAATCATATAGTGGGTTTGGGACATAAATATATATTTATTTATTTATTGTGTAGTCCTCATTGTTAAGTAAACATATTTTTACACGTCATAATTAATGTAAAAATTAACTTATATTTAGGAATAATTTATCTCATCATGATCTACATTTGTGAATGGGTTAGGTTTATTATTTTTTGTTTCTATGATAAAATTTTATTTTCACAAACTCTTGAACGTCCAAAAAGTCAGTTTAAAGATTTGAAAAGAATGATCCAAGGTTTGGAAGCCAGCGTAAATATTGCTGCTTAATACAGGGTTTAATAAATCTAAAATAAAAGGTTGAGGCATAAACTAAGAATCCGAACGTAATGTAAATACTTATATCACTTTGGATCAGTGAGATAAACCGTCTTTAATTTATAAACCTTGTAATATGGATTCGAATTGAAATAATTTGCGCTTTTTGCAATTTTGAAGATAAACGAAAGAATGGGGGAAGTGACGTATCTATATTACAACAGTATTTAATATAAACCAGAAATATCTTATATACACTTAACAGGTTTTCTTCTTGTGACACATGCTTTGACTAAAGGACAAAATTTTGATATTTTATAGCATTGGATACGTGTGACCGGTACTTTCATTTTTTCTACAGATACTGGAAGATCATCGATAGGATATATTTGAAAATTTTGATTCTATTTAACCTGGTTTCGTTTATAAGTAATGAGCAAGAAACCAATTTTTTTGTGGTTTTGAAACAGCAGGTGTTATCACTTAAACTGATACTAGGTATGTGTGTTTCAACCGTGTCTTCAGTGGCAGTGAGGGCAAAAGCTTCGAATACTTCGAAAATTACAAAGGCTTTGACAAAATAAATATACTCTCATTCTTCGGTGGCGGAAATCAAAACAACATGACGACTCTGCTAGCAGAGAAGAATATATATATTTTTTATAAGAATATATTTCTCGTTATATATTATCAAGTTACATATTATCTCATATCAAACCAACTACCAAATTCTTTCTATATTTTATTATTAATTAATATAAGTTTTACATTAAAAGCCAATTGAACTCGACTGTCATTTGTTAGTTGAGTTTCTAGTATAAGTGGAATAAATAAATAAATAAATAAATAATGAATAGATAACATCAATAGCCAAAAGTATTAAAAGTCTAGTTTTGACATAATAATAAATATAAAGATATATATATTTTTTTAATTTTAGCTATACTTTCGAATGGTTTATTCTAAAATCTTTTCGATGATTACTTTTTAAAGCAAGGGTACTTTACTAATTTTAGAATTGTAATAGAGAAAAATAAAAATTGGTTTTCGTATGTATACACAAAGAATGCATATTTTGAAAAGTAAGGTATTACTAAACTAAACGTTTGCCAATAAGTAAGAAGTAACGAAAGAACCAATACGTACTGATTAATAAAGTCACTTGAAGGTGAGGCACAAATGATTTAAAATCCACGATAACTTTAAATGAATATAAATGTACGATAATACTAGAGTCACTTTAAATGTATATAGATATGAGCTTAATTATACTTTTACATATGAAGAGTGTGCTAAACCAAAAGAGCAATAAAGTCACTCACTAATATATAGTTCAATTTGTTTCATTAACTTCTTAAATAAGAAAATAATTTGTTTAGTCATACCTTACCTTTGCATCACCCGGCGTATTCAACATTCTTAATGTTTAAATTTTATTCGAGCACGTTGTAAAACTAATGGTTGTATAAAAGATTCTCGTTGCGGTATATCACTGAAGCTTTCGAAAACTTAAGCCACCAATCAAGACGTAAACGCCATAAAGTCGAAAGAACACATTAAAATCAAAAAATATCGGAATTTTACTTTTCTGTTAAATTTTATCGTATTTTTTACTCATTGGTTGTCAAATTCCTTTTCCTTTTCTATTACAATAATAGAATTGAACGAGAAGTTTTCAAGACAGATAAGAAACGTTCCATTTCCAAGGATGCTAGCAAGAGAGCAATAATCAAAAAAGTGCAAATAAGTTTAAAAAGTCATTTATCAATGTTTTGAAGAATACAAATTTGCATTTAAACGATTTTTATAATTTTAGTTTAAGTAAATTAAGTTTAAATTAAACCAATTATTTTGAATAAAATGTGGATAAACAGTTCACAATCAATGATTTTTTATATGAAAATCTTTGTAATTTCGTCCTTACGGCCTGTACTTAACTATAAAATGTAAAATTATTTTACTTAATTTCAAAAAACACATACTTCTCCAAAGAATACCGTACGTTTTTCAATGGTTTACTTTTCTTTTTCTAAATCTACTCTTTTTCAATATATTTTTGTGTTATTCCTTCTTAAGAACTAAGAAATAACGTACAGAATATCTCAGAAGTGGGACTAAAACAGAAAATTATAGCCAGACTTGATGAGTTTCACAACATGATGTATAAAACGTATCTTGGCTCTAGATCAAGCAGTGTCTAAAATAAACATTTTTAATGGGCTGCAATATTCTTCTGGGATTTAGTTTGCGGTAATGCATATTTCCATACTGCAATTCCTTTAAAGTTACCACTTTGAGTTCGTAGCGCGGCATGCGTTACCCGCCATCTTTGTTTTAGGCCGGAGATTTTCCTTAAAATGGGCTGCGTACACATAAACTTATCCTAGAAATGGAAAAGACCCTAATGACATGTCTTATAATATACACAACTATTTGTGCTTATTAGGACGCTGCAAAAGTATTTGCTTCTGCATATGACCAAAAATACCTAAAGATTATCACTTATTTGTTTTTGACTAGGTTTTTTTAACATTATCACTTGGTTGCTTTGAGATTAGCGAAATAATTCCCAGATATCAAAATACTGCGGTCTGATGTATTTTTTTCAAACAGACAATCTCAAATCCTTTACTAATTGTAAATCTTTGACTGAGTAAATTTTGGATCAAATTTTTTCCATTGGAAAAATTTTTTCGAATAATGTATATTTTAAAAGTAAAATTCGTCGTGGCCCGTGAGGCGCTCATATATGGCAGACAAACATTTAAAAATTTCAATAAATCCGCTATGGTGGATATAAATAGCTATCAATCCATTATCTGAATAAGGCAGTAAGGGGACAGACAAGACAAAACGGAAATCTAGTCTCAACTAGCGAGACAGAAGGAAACTTACCATCAACTAGAAATTTTCTAGGTTCAAAGAAAAATGTTTAGATCATGACTTGTCTAATTTTAAGTGAACCAAGCATCGACAGATGAATAAACTAAAAGTATGTAAAATGAAATATTTAAAAACTATAATTGTCCCATGCTTTCAAAAGAATGAATTTTAGCATTACCTATTTCAGTCTTAATTAGGCGTAAATTGCGAATAAATTTTGAATAGTTCAAAAAGCTGCCTAGTTTTCGATTGTATTCTTATTCGTTCTGCTGGAGGCCCGTTTAAATATATACATTATGTGATAAAGAAAATAAAAATATATATACTAATGGGTATAGGAAATAATAATATAAATAATACAATTCAATTATATGTATACAAATTTTTGTTATAACCGAGTCGTGACATAATTCCAGTCGTTCGAACCATAAGGACTCTGAAGCAGTTGTTAGAGCGAGACCATAACCACTTTATCTAGCAATCCGCCATTGTTGAGCGCAGCTCTGTTTTAGTCAGCATCCGTAAAACAAGAGCTATACGTCTAAAATTTGAGAAAACGTCAAGGTTTTTTTCGAGAATATATTTTGTGGACTCACGTCCCTTGGAATGTAAGATCGAGATGTAACGAATGCTATTAAAAATTTAATTGAATTCAACTCATTTCAATTCGATTCGTTTCAATACAATTTAATTCGGTTCAATTCAATTCAATTGAGAACAGATTAGCGAACGATTACAATGCTATCATCAACAAAATCACATTTCTTTAATAAGCGATGTTTCGATAAAGACAAAAAAGATTGTTCAAAAATTTTGGTTAGTATTAAGAACAATTAAGGTCAGCTGGTAACAATGTTATTAAAGCTGAAGGCTGGGAAGAGGCGAAAATGGAAATTTATGTAAACTTCATTTTTATTACATTTCGTGATGATTTCATGTTCCAATACGAATAGCAACTTTTACTTAGTTAGCAAATTTATCTCAAAGGCTTACCTAAGAGAAATGTTGCTAACTTCAGTGACAAATGCATAAAATAAAGAAGTTTATAATTTATCCTTATATACAAAGTTAACTGAGAAAAATCGGGCTGTTTGAAATTTTATGGCATAATGGTTTTGCTCGCTGAAACTACGGAAATTTAAGCGGGTCTTTTAAAACAAAAAAAAACAAAAGAGAATGTTACTTAATACTAAGGACGTTAATTTCTCAAAGGAAAAAATGCGTACTTGCATGGAGAAAAAATCACTGATCACGCAAAGATACATCAAAATGCGTTTGTTCTATTTCAAGAATTCAAGTTAAGAAAAGACCACAACTGTAAAAGCATCACTGAAAACAATCATAAGGGTCGCAATAAACATGCGCAGGTAATGTTAAAGTTGTATGTCGCCTAGCTATAGACAATAGCAGTGATGAGTACATTATTGAAGGTAAAGAGGTCAAAAGTAGCTCAAGAAGGAACCCCAGATTCAAAAGAAAAGTGGGTTGCATGTTTTAGAAAACGACGGCATCCCCTAGTTTTTGAAAAAACGGTAACGAATACAAATGGCAGACAATAGCGAGGACAAAACGCGTGAGCATTATTAGAGCTACCACGAGCATAGAAAGCGATTGGCATATAATAAGGCAATACGTGAATGAGCAAATTAAAAAATTTAGAGCAAGACTTAATGCAGTCAGTAATATGGCAGGGACCTTAACGAAACCTTTATCCCAGGTGTATGGTATGCTAAAATATGTATGATATTTGCTTGATCTGCTGAATAGAAAAGATATATGCATGAAGTGGATGTATGTAGAGCGTTATTAAACAATGTAGTTGATGGTGAAGCATCCCGACAATATAAATCGATCCGGCAGGCGGTGCGCATTTGGAGCTAGACTGCATTTTACAATGAATGTGTTTGAATCTTGCTTGCAAAAGCAGAAAAAGAAAGGTACGTCGTTAAGCACAGCTTACGTAAATCATCCTACTATAACTAATCGATTCAAAAATTATGTAACACATGGAACTCTCTCGACTATGTCGATAAAAGTTATTCACAATATTTTCTAGTAATGCGTATCACACAAGCAAATGATTGGGATTACCTTTGCCAGTGAAGAATAACATATTAGAAATCTATTGCAAAAACACCATAGGGAGGACTAAGGAAGAACATCAAATCTATGTTATACACCCTAGCAACATGCAAAGGCAATTAAACACTTACAGCAACTATTATTGATCTAAAATAACACTACATCCCTATTGATGAACAACTGTACAAATACGTTGATGTGAACGGTGCAGGGTTTATGGTTTAAATTGGCTTATTCATACGGAGTATTACTTCTATTGCAAATCTAAGAAATAAAACTATGATTTTTGATAGTACAGGAGCCGAATACACAACTTCAACGTATAAGGAAGCAGTATATGTAAAAAGTTTGTTGAATGACAACAATCATCTAAATAGTGATAAGCTGGTGCTTAGTTATAACGACAAATTAGCTCTTAATCATATTAGATATGCATATATAAGATCTCGACATCAATCTATGGGAGAATGTGTGCAAAATATACTTGAACTGAAGACGTGACCGGAAATATCTTGAGGAAAAATCTTTATACGGAACACTATTATTTTATGGAGCTAATGGAAATAAGAACCCAAAAATATGAAAGATATTTTTTTTAAAGAGCGTATATTCAAATCCTGGGACGTTTTTGAATGCACACATACATATATGTCCGTTTTGAAGAATCTATGTCGGTTATGCCTTTTTTATGCTTATTAAAGTTACTTTATTCCTTTTTTTACTTTCGATTAGTTTATCTCCTGAATAAATGTTTGGTTTGCAACATTTATTTGTGTTTATTTTTGTTGGAAGTTTTGTTTTTATTTACTAGTATTACGATCACTGTTAGTACATAATCGCTTTTCAGGTTTTATCTGCAGTTTAAAAAAATGTCTTTTTTTTTTTTTAGTTTGATCTTAAAATTTAAATGGAACATAAGATATTTTCTTTTTCAATCTGTTTTTTGTCCTTAACATTCAGAACTTTAATTACTTTTTATTATATCGTAAAAATTAATAAAAGTCTGTCCATTGTTGACGACCTTGCAAGAACGGGTTTTTAAAGTTTTAGTGTCTGTTGTAGATAATTCAATTAGCCGAAAGCGTGTTCTGGTGCATACTATTCATTTCATCGGAAAATGGTACGACTTGCTTGTAACTGCGGGCGACCAAAATTCATCCCAAAATGAACGGAGATTTCTTAACACTACAACTGCAGAAGGCCTTAGATGCATTTTAAATTGCTTAAAAAAAGTACTCGTTCTCCTATGATACTGTGACCAAAAAGCTAGGCCAATATCGGAAGTTATATTAAACTGGACGGGTATATCAAATATCAGAAATATTTTTTTTTCCTACTTGCTAGCATTGTGTCAAATGCCTATGTCAAATTTTACCACAAAAACGTCAGCAGTGCTTCAACTGCATTTGGCAAACGCACGACGAAAAAAATATGTATCCCGTTTTGTACAATGCTTGATTTTATTGTGAAAGAAATTGCATTAAATTTTGCCAGCGATTACGGTGGGGGGACTTGGATCTACGCATAAGGCCTGGAAACAACCAATCAATTGGGTGAATAACCTGCAAAATGTGAACAAAGTTCGAAAAATCATATCAAAGTCGTTTAAAAATCAAGGTGATGTTAACAGTTTTCTTTGATTATCCTAACGGCGGACCAAACTGTTAA